TGAAGTGGTGGAGGGCGGAGGGGATGTGCACATGACATGGGAATGGTCTCAAACCTGATACATCAACCCTGCATGGAAATATTCTGAAGGGCACTCCACAAAGAGTGTTGACTTTCCAACCCAAACCCACGAGTGGCCATCGGGGGCACCACTTTACTAGTGCAGGACTTTACTAGCAAAGGACATCTTCTCAGTGCTCAGAAAGTTGTTCCCCTAGCTGTTCTGAGGCTAAGTGTTGTGGCTTTTGAGAACATACAACAGATGAGGCTCTGCAGCTGGACAAATATCACAGCTGAAAATCCAGGTAGGACCTGGCTAAGAATTGAGTGCCCAAGCAGCCAGCAGTGTCAGGTTTTAAGCACTTTTGCTTGAGCTCATCAGCAAAAGTCTACTGAGTTCAACAGACGCCAAGCAGGGGTTGCGAGGCCTCCAGGGTGAGCTAAACGCTTGACTCAGGTACTCATTAGTTACTCAGCTTCCTCTGGCAAACTGGCTCTAGGTCAGCTTCAGGAGAATAAAAAGTGAAACTGAGAACACACAGTTCTGTCTAATGCACATGGTGACCGACTGACAAATTAAAAGGAAAACTGACTTCTCTGAGCAACAGAATGACTTGTGTGCCTGCAGCGTAAGGCTTGAGCTTTGTGATCTGCTCTGCTGGGTGAACTGTGTTGAAGCAAATCAGTTCTAGCATGAAACACACAGTCCCTTCTACTAACCTCTCACTCCAGCACGCGTTAGGAGGCTTTGCAGAAGCGTAGGGCCCACCTGCTCTCCTGTCAGCAGGGTTAGGGATTCAATTATCACTATCCTTTTAAAACTTTTCACAGAAGGCTTGGTAAATGTCATTCTCTAGTTAGTCTATGAATTACATCAAACAGTGCTTTTACTAAAGATTGCAAACATACAATTTGGGCCTCATAGTAATTTTCTTTAAAATATAGCATACTCTTTACTTTGAACTGTTCTGAATTTTGGTGATTGCAAACACACCTGCATCTGTTTAAATGATATAAACAGATGCATCTGGAGGAAGAAATACAGGTATAAACCTTTAAGTCTAGAGGTGCAAGCTAGCTGAAGCAGCACAATGGAAGACCTAAGCAGAAGAATGGTAAGTATTTTGTTTAAAGCAGCAAGTATCCTGTATACAGCTACCTGGTTCCCCTCTGAGGGGCATGTGCAACTGAAGGGTTTGTTCACATGTGTTTAAATTTTGTGGTGCTTAATTTGTGGAGAGGAAGGGCTTTTGTTCTAGAGCCTTTAAGGCAAACTGTGTTGAAGAATTGAGGATAAGAGGGAGAAAAAAAAATAAGAGAGATTTTGGTGTGTGAGCACTCTGGAAAAGTCTTGCCTTTAAGCTCCATGATAAATCTAGTTGCTTTTTTTGCGGTAGGAATCTTCCTCAGGCTCGCTAGGCCAAAAAAACAAGGGGGATGGTGGTGGATGAGTAATGGCTATATATGGAACACAGATAAGCAAACAAAGCCTGTTTCTTCTTCTTCCTTTTTTCCCCCTATTACATAAGAGCTGCTAAGGTGCTCTGAGCCTGTGTGTTAGTACTTTTATTTTTTTTTTTACTGACCCAAATTCAAGGAAACAGCTCTGGTGCTTTCTGTGTTATCAGGTCTCTTGCTTGTGCTGGCTGAAGGGTATAAAGGCGTCTCCCTCTGTTTACCAGTAAAAGGTAGCCTAATGCTTATTGTTTGACTGGCACTTTGCAGGCTAATGGTAGATTTGAGTCCTAATGAGTCCAAGGTGCTGCCTTTTGTGGATGTAATTGGACAGCCTGATAAAGCAGCCAGTGCTGGGGAAACACAAGTAACCTTTGGCAACCTCAGTAGACTTGATGGCTAAAGGCAGCTTGGGGAGGGTGGGGAGAACGATTAGCACTTAGAATGGCCAAGGCCAAGTACCAGCCCTGGTAGGCCGGGGTGAGAAGGGCTGGATATGGAGTGTGCTGCCTAGCTGTGTGTTGATGTGTTCAGAGTGTCTGGTGTGGGGTGTGAGGTGAAAGGCAGTGCAGTGGGGCAGGTGAAGGAAGGCAGATGATGCCTACGCAGTGGCTCCTGCCCTGGCCCACAGGAGCTGTGGAGGCACTGTGAATGGACCCTCCATGGAAGGCTGCTGGGCAGGCCTAGGTGAGAGACCGGTGGCCACTGTGGGTAAGGTGGCCCCCTGCCCCTCCCGCGCTGGCCTTCTGCCCTGGCTCCCGCCCCTAATGGCACTCAAGCCAGGCAGGTCACACGGAACACGACTCCTAGCGCCGTGCTCCCGCCGCCCCGAAGGCGCAAGCCTCCCGCCGCCGGCCCGCTGCGCCTCCATTAGGACCTGCGCCACAGTGCGTGGGGGGTAGGGGGAGAGAGAGCACAAGATGGCGGCGAGCGCCGGCAAGGGCCGCCCACGTGACCCAGGCTCCTTCTAGAGACATCGCCGCGGCGCGCGGCACGGCGCTCTCGCGAGAGCCCCGGACAAAAGGAGGGCTGGGGGAGGTCTCGCGAGACTTCCAGGCAGACAGGGAGGAAACCTCGCGGTATTTGCCGAGCGAGCCCCATAAAGACGCAGCCAGCGCGGCTGGGGGCCCCTTGCCGATGAAGTCTCGCGACACCTTTCCCCTCCGCGTCCCGTTCATCGCAGGCTGAGCAGCCCTGAGCCCGCGCAGATCTCGCGATAGCTTAGGGTCCCCCCCTACTCCCCCGGCGCTGCGCGGCTGTTTCTTCTCGCGATAGCGCCGCAGTAGGGGGGGGGGGAGTGCTGGGCGGGGCCTGCGCGCTGAGGTCAGCGCGCGCGCCGGGCAGGCGGGAGGAGGGGCGGGCCGTTATATAAGGGCCGGGCCCGCGGCGCGGGGGGGTTTCGGTTAGAAAAGCGGCTCGAGGCGCGCGGGCGGCGGCCACAGCAGCAGCGGCGGCAACGAGCTCGGTCTCCTCGTCCTCCCCCCTCCCTGCAACCCGGCGAGTCTGAGTTTCTCGAGGCGGAGCGGGGCCCCCCGAGACGAGCTCTCGTTATGAGTCATGTGGCGGTGGAAAATGCCCTCAGTCTAGACCAGCAGGTGAGGGGCGGGGGGGTCCGGAACGTTCCCCCGG